AAGTAGTTAAAGTATTGAAAAATATATGCATATGTGTCCATTAGGTTTTACTCATACAAATCTAATTATCAACCTTTTTTGTATTTTTGTGTTTTCTATTTATCTTCTTCGCAATCCCATCGCGGCTCACTTACTTTTTATCATTAAAGTAATCTTATTTGGTAGGTTTAGTTTCTTCGTAATATTTACTTGTTTGTTTTTTGTTTGTATAAATTTCTACTCTTTTATTCTCATCCCCAGTGTTACTGTTTGTGTATATACGCGCACTTTACTCTGATGCTGTGTGGTGTAAAATAATTTTGTTGCATGTATGTATGAAATTTTTGAATTAACTTTGGAAATAATGTGTATGTTATCTTTCATAACCAAATAAAAAATCGTGTGTGGGCGTGTACTCTTCGTTCGCGCTAATAATTAATAATACGGCGAACACACTCGCAGTTTTTAAGGTCTCGTTTGCTCAATTATGTCACTAGAACTTTTTTATTTATTTATACTTTATCATTATAGATTTACGTGTGTAATTAGCACTGCGCGTTTCTATTTTTGTTCCATTAAAATTGAGTTGATTTTTTGTTTGCTTAGTCATAAACAGTTTCTTACGTAGACAATATCGATCGCTATCAGTTATTAGACACTTGATATTTGGAATAAAAACATATTTATCGGTGTCGTTTTTTTTTCCGTACCTACATCAGCACGAATGTGTTTTCATTAGACATGGGTTAATGTTTTCACGGGCAAGAAAGTAGTTTATTTTTTTAATAATAATAATTATCTTGTATTTGAGTGCATGCAGTATTTTTTTGTTGTTTTTTTTTCGTTTTATTTTTGTAAGTTCACATTTTTTCTTCACCACGTTCATTTTCAATATTATTTATAAACGGATACACGTCTATTAGTTAATATTTGGGGCATGAAAAATCTATTTTTTAACTTGTTTATCGACGTTTGCCTTCAAATGGCATTTTATTATAATACTATAGGTTCTCTGGTTTGCCTCCTATGGTTTTTTTTTGTCAGAAACACTAACGACCACACGTTTTATTTCATAACAATTATTACAATTATCATTAATTCATTTTCATATCGATTACATCTAAGTTTTTCATTAGCACCTCGATTAATGTACGCAAGGTGTTCGGTTCCTCTATATTATTTCGTACAATGACCTTTTAACTTTTCCCCAAAGTCGCGTCATCTTTCTCCAATTTTTCCCTGTGTACTATACTTTTGATTTTCGTTTGCGTGCACTACGTTATGAAATAAAACCGCGACTCTTGACACATGAAAATAGAGAAAAAAATATTGCTTGCCGAAGCCTAATAATTTTTCACGGACAATTTTTATTTTTATTTCAATTCGAAATACTCTGGGAAAAGTTTTGAGAAAAAAACGGGGGACTAAATTTGGATCGCTTGTCGAGTAGGAAGAAAAAATCCGATCAGGTAAGATACAGTCACGGCTGGCTTTTTTTTTTTTAAAGATCGATGGGCTGCCCTCAACGCCGGCTACACTGCACATTTAATGGGTCAACACGCCGACGAATCTGGCTTCCCCGGCCCCACGCGTCCGATGGTATTTTAAGAGCGAGAGAGAGATAGAAGGCGCGTCGTGCTCCGCCGTGTCCCCGCCCCAATCGTTATAGCCGGACTTTTCGGATGTCTCTCCCCTTCGCTCTGTCTATTCGCGTGTCTCAGCACCGTCCGCCATCTTAATGCTTTTTTTTTTTTTTTTTTCTTCAATCCAATTTTATTTTATTTCAATCCTTGCTTCTTTTCGTTAATTTACTGTTTAGCGTCTTTGTCCTTCGTTATTAATATATTAGCAGGTACTAGCATAGCTACCACAGCCGTACGTGTCGTTAATTTTTTTTTTTCCTCTTTTTTTTTGGGTTCTACGGGTGGAATTTGTTATTCGATTACGTATGGTAGTTTTCAAGGGTATACCGATTCACTCGTTCGTGTCACACCAAGTCATCCCGGTTGTTGCTGTATTACGGTTCGCTGGGAAACGTAAAAATTGACCTCGGTCTTGATATTTTTAATTTTTTCCATCCAAGCTTTTCAAAATATTTTTTTTCTCCTCTATCGTACAACTTTTCAAAGCGCATTTCAAACTCGTGTGAAACAACGTTTTTTTATTTTTCAAAATTATATAGATTTTTATTTATACATTTATTTTAAATATATATCTCAATACATCACGCACGACTAGTTTTTAAATTTTTTTTTCTTTTCTTGTATTTATATATTTATATTATACACATATTCCCCCCCCCCGGTTGCCCCTGTTTCCATAACGTATAAAAAAATGGTCTTAAAAAATATATAAAAAGTATAAAAAATAGAATATCGTTCTTACAATTAAATACAAAAAGAAGTACTTTTACAACCGTATTACTTTTATCTTCCATATTTTTTTTTTTTCTTTCGTTTTTTGTTGTTTTGTTTTTTTAAAATCATTTTTTAAAATACAAATCATATACAAATATTGCACTTATTATCATACACATTGTAATTTATGTATATATATATTATTACGAATATTATCTTGAAAAAGCGAGAAAGAGCGTCGACTTGCTCCCTCGCTCTTTCTTGCTCTGTCCCTCGAAAAAAAAAAGAAAAAAAAAATTTCCGTTTTTAATTTTTGTACGGAGGAAAAAAAAAATTGTCAAAGTGCCTCATCGGCGTCAGCAGCGACAGGAAGCGTTTAAGCGATTGACTACTACACACGATTATACAATACACGTGATACAAATATTACACTTGAATAATGTAACTCCTCGAAATCAACTTTGACTACGTTTCCCAGTGAACGTATTTTATACCCACAACTCCTGTCACACACACACACACACGTAAGCGCGTATTGATGGATTTTCGCAAAAAAGAATCGAGCGAGTGTCGCGCCGGCGCGACGCGCCTGTCCTTGAAACAGCGCCAGAGACTGTCCTCTCCTCGCCACACACACACACACACACACACTCACACACACACACACACACACATATGCGATCGCGTAATAGCCGATTATCTAACGCGCGCGTCTGCGAAGGTGAAACATACACGCGCGCACACGTATAAGTACACACTCATACTGCAGTGGATGTGAGCGTAAATTTATCGAAAGCCCGTCCAATACTGAGGCAAACAGGTGTTGTTACGGCGAGTTTGTACGATTATAATGGATGGTTGTACGCTAACAAAAATCGGGCATCGTTGGGGGGGGGGGGGGGGAATAAAAGTCAAAACCCGGAGTAGGTATTAGCTACGACGTGAGTTTAGGTTGTTTTTTTTTCGTCCACGTCGCAGTGGCATTACATGCAAAAGCGACAGATGACCAAGAGGCCACTACGCGAATATAACACGTCTCCCGGGCTCGCGTCCAAAATTATTCGGCCGGCTTTTAGCGCCTCGGAATCCCTACTTTTTTTTTTTCTTTTTACGCTCACACGTCCGTCCATATAGGCGTACCATACACTTGACTCTCGATTTCGTTTTTGCACGGTATATAAGGTATGTAGCCGTTCGCTCTTTCATCCCTTGCTCCGCTCCGCGCACCTCTACTGTACACGTTGTTGTGTCCTTGTACACGTATAAAAATAAAGTGCTGAGATTATTGTTACACGTTATCAATGACCATATGAACGACAAGTTTTGGCGATTTTGCGACACGACGCGCGGACAGTGCAGGTTCATTACATTGTGTACCAAGCGATTGCCACCTACTAATACAAAGATAATATACCGATGCCCCACGCGCCGATTCGCTGAATTTACACGCAAGTATAGGCTATCTATATAACGCGAGTTGCACAAGTCCCCGGCTATAAGTTCTCCCGTTTCTCTACTTCTTCCCCCTTTTCTTTTTTTTTTTTTTTTTTTTGTGATAGAAAAGAATACTTGAGCTATACAACACACGATTTTATCCATCGCATGTACGTATATTCTCGATCTCGATTACACAGGTATGTATGTATAATATTAGGTGTACCTTATACTTTACTGACCCCCGCGTATATTCACTCCGCACCACAATAGAGACTCTGGTGCGAAGTACTCGTAAGTTGCGTGTAACATCATCAACCGGTACACTTTTTTTTTTTTTTTTTTTTTTTTTTTTTTTTTTTTTTTTTTTTT